CAGTGAACACCCGAAACAGAGATGGGGATCTGAAAGGCAAAAAAAATTACTTCCAAATCCACTCTTATTTGCTTTCAAATCCACTCAAATAAACAATAAAAATTTTATCTTCAAATCCTCTCAAATTCATTCTATCATTTTTTTCTCAAATTCATTCAAATAAATAAAATATAATATTATTCAAGTGAACAAATCCTCGATATTAAAGAAAAGTAAGTTGGATTTGGTCCAAATGATGTTATTGTATTGTATGGAGTGAAATGCATTAAATTAAATTGAATTGAAATGAATGAATCCTATTTGTGGGTGAGACATCGAATTGTGAAGAGAGACAGTCCATCGCAATCCCGAGAAAACCACCTTAACCTCAGTGTTTTAGTCATCCCTAAGCCATCGTCACACGTGGGAGTAGGATACACGGATTCACGTGTTAGTGTCACCGCTTTGATGCTCGAGCCTTTTACTTTCTCCATTTTCACCAACTTTTCCTATTCTACCTCTCTTCTCTCCTTTCAAATCTTCAAAATCAAATTCATTTCATTTACAATTGTAAGTTTTCTAGTTATCTACTCCAACACACTCACTTACTTTTATAACGAATTCCATTGGATTCTTAAGGTTCTACTATGTTTTGGTTAATGATATACGATCGAATGAATTATAGTTTAATTAAGTTTTACATTTGTGATAAAATTAAATGTTTTTAATTGAATTTTTATTAAGTTTTTTTGTCTATTGAATTTCTAAAACTTCCATATCTTTTGATTAAGTTTTTGTTGTTTAACATTTTACATTTCTTTAGATGAAATAGATACATACTTTGAAACATAGATAGATAGATTATAATTTTCGTCAATTGTTTGAGAATGAAAAATATATTTAATCCAATATAAAATTATATCATGATTGTAGTAAAATATTATAATTTTCAATTGAAAAATAAAAGTTATTTATCATTTTCCATTAATATTGATATCATTTAAATTACTCACAAATTTTTTATAGGCAACAAGTTAACAAAATGATAAAATAAAATAACAAGTGATCCAATTAATAAAAAGGTTAAACAAAAAAAGTTAAACAAGACTCAGTTGAAAGTATAAAACTTGAAGTGTTGAACAAATTATTTTTTTTTAACAAATACTGAATAAAAATATTCAAATTTATCATATACTATAGTAACCCATAAATTATATAATAAAAAATAAAAGTAAAACTCTCATAATGATGTTGTTAAAACGATCTTATATAATAATGATTTAGTTTGAACGATCTCGTATATGACATTGAAAATGTAATTAAAATGTGGAAAAGTAATAACTCATAAATGTGGTGGCAAACATTACATAATAGAAAGAAAGAACTTTTTGTATTACAGAACACCAAAATCTTTCTTTCTTATAAGCATATTTATTACTGTTGTTCATGCGCCCACCACTACATGAACAAGTTAACAATTCGGGCTTTTTCATACATAAAGGTTCTGTTTACAAAATCAAATCAATTTATATATTTTATGTAACTTAAGAGATTGTTAGGTCTTATAGTTATTATTATTATTATTTTTATTCCATTTGGTTAATGAAATGTGTGACAGATGCATCCATCATGATGCATGGCAATGATTCCATTTGGCAACAGAAAATGTGTAACTTAGTTGTGATAGTCAAAGGTGATGGGATGAGCAGCAGAAACGTCAAAGATCCCCATAATAACATTCCTCACCTTTTCAAAACTCACCCTTTTGGATTTCTGCATGAACCATTGGACATTTTAATCTTGCTATGCTATTCAAAGCAGAATGATAATGATTACTCACAAAAATAGACTATTGTTCATTTTCTAAAACACTTTTATCCTACCATTCAACCATAAATTATTATGAATTGTAAGTTTCTTCTTGATTTTTCTTTTCAAGTTACATACAACTTCTAAATTGAATAAAACTCTATTTATCGAGAAAACATAAATTATTGAGATTGTAAACAATTTTATAGTTAATAATAAGATGTCGTGTATATAATTTATCATGTATGAAAAAATTTCTCAGTAAAATAATTAGTCAAGATCTATTTAATTATAGATGATTACACAACACTATGTTGATGTTATTTCTAGTGGAAAGAAACTTCATGGCACAAAAATATAACATTATCGTCCAAATGTGTTTTATGCATAAGATGGTTAGTTCAAGTGGTAGAACCTGTGATGAAACCTATAATCAACTCTATGGTGGAGTTTGTGATTTAGTCTTTTATAGTGCAACTTGTTATTTAGTGTGAGTCAATGATGGTTAACCATAATAATATTTGTGTTGTGAATGAATATTTTCTTGTTAAGGATCTAGATATATACCTTCTTTAGAGAATGTCACTATTATTGTAAATAGATTACAAGGTTTAAAATAATTAGATTCATTTCATAGTAATTCAGCAATTATAGAGGAATTAAAAACAACTTCTAAATGGGCTAATATACTTAATGAGAGAAAATATTTTAATATTGAAGAGAATGATGAGTCACTTCAAACTATAAGAAAACTTAGTAAAGGTAGACCAAAGAAAGTTAAAACTAAATTCTTAAAAGCAAAAACTTCTAAAAATTAAAAACATTTTTTGGAACGTGAACAGATTGACTAATGATAAGTTTTTAAAGGTTTTTTTTCTTAGTGGATGAAGTTCAAAGTATGAAATAATCTTCGTGAAACAAATTATGTATTTTTTTTCATAATAAGTATTGTTTTACAATATATAATGTAATTTTATCATGAGATGTGATCTCTATGTTTTTCTTTCATTTTTTTTTCTTTTTAATAAAATCTTTATAATGACAATTATGCTTAGAATAAACTTATTTAAATATAATAAAATAAAGTATGTAAATTAGTATAACATTTGTGTTGTAAATTTACAATATAAGATTGATTTAAACTTTATTAGATATATTATCTTTATTTTATATTTATCTTTTATCTTTAGTTAGTTTAATATTATTTTTTATTTATGTTTTGAACTTAACTCATATTATAAATAGAGGATCCTGTGTGTATATTCAACCCAAAGGAGATTAATTTTATACATAATTTTCATTATTTTCAAGTATATACACTTGCTTAAGACAGTTACACCTAAACTAATTTTTTTAGCAGTGTGTTTGTTGATGACTTTATCAACGTATATTTAAAATCCATAACATGAATAGATTCTTAATTGATTAATTATATAAATTTTACACTAAATAGGCATAAAAGTGGTTTAAGATAAAAGAATGTAATTATTTGGAGTTGCAATAAGATTGAAGATGTGGTGGGCCTTGAGCCTGGACTTGAGAAGTGTTAGGGTGTTGCTTCCTCCACCACCACTCCTTGCTCCCTCCACCTCCCCCTTTCTCTTCTACCCCTCACTCCATCTCTTTATTCCTATTTTATCCTTCAGTAAAACTTTATTTTTAGGGTTAAAATTTTATAATTTTTAACCACTCCAATCCTCTGAACGCATGCAGCGATACACAACCTATTCATTTTGGGAATTCTTTCTCCTCTCTTTCTTTCATTGTTGTGGTGTGAGAGTGTGGTGAGTGAGAGGTTGCATGTGGTTGAAGGAATTGTTGTAGCAGTGGCAAAATTCAGTCTCGGGATTGGTTGAAGGTGGTGGTGGACTCCATCAACGCTTTGGAAAACTTACTGAAAGCACTGTGAAAAAGCGGCGAGGTAAGAACCCTAAATTAACGTGGAAACCATTAAACGAATATGGGCATCCGTCAACGGATTCGTTTAAGGGGAAACGGATGTCGACATCCGTTTCACCTTAAACGGATGTTGACATCCATTAACAGATGCTCATATCCGTTTAATACGTTAATTTAAGATTTTTAAGATTTTGTTTTTATTAGTTTATTCTATTATGTTAATTTTGAGCTTATCATGGCAAACCCAGGACCAATTGTGATAGAGAAACTCCGTGCATCTAAGTTAACAGATGTCATTGGAGAAAATAACATATTTCCAACAGTGGCTGATGTTGTTTCAACTTTTGGTGCAAATGGTGAAGGAGTATTATGAAGAAATGAAATAACTATAGCTTCAATATTCAACCGTTGAAGTCCAAAGGGTGGGAATCAAGTGTTCAAAGTGCTCATTAGAAAGTTTCTGAGCAGGGAGTATGCAGATGTGTCTTCCATAGCTCTGCTTGGTTATCTTCTATTATTTCGTGTTTTATATGTTGATGTATGAAAGGAAAAGGAAATATAAAATGTGTTATGTGTCTATATCTTAATTTGTGGGAATATTAATATATTCGTAATGATATACATGCGCTCAATAGTTGCAGAAGAAGAGAGAAAATTGACTTCATGATTTGATGGATAGAGTTGATTATATATGCTTGATTTCTATATGGATGGAATGTCGCAAATAAAAATGTTTCAGGGAGTTTGCTATACCTGATCGATGACCAACACACACCACAAGATTAAGAACAATATCCTATATATATTTGTATGGTATGATTGGGATCCATTTTTCTGATGTAAAGCATCTCATATCTCATTTGATAATTTGATTTAGATGGTGTAAATTTTTGGACAACTCCGATCAATAAAATTAATTCTTTTGAATTATACTTTTTCAAATCTAATCCAAACCCACTTCGTGAATATACTCCTCTACACCTTCTGACTGCATGTGTGAATTTCACCCATCCTAAAAACAAAACTAGTAATTTATTAAAAATTTTCACAAATATAATAACATTAAGTGTTATTCTTACATAAAAAAGTTCTACTTATTTACATAATGTCACCGTATAATCATTCTATTTTAAATTTTTCTGAGTCTATAATAAGTTGTACGTTGTGGAAACTTAGTTTTACACTGGTGTGAATAGCTTTGAATATTTATTAGTGAACGATATATATATATATATATATATATATATATATATATATATACACACACACACACACACACTGTATCCTAAACTTTTCTTCACAAAAAATAATACGAGGAAGTAGCGAGAAAAATGGAATTACTATAGAGAAATTATTATACATACATCAACCACTGCAGTTGAACTAATCCTGCGTAATTTGTAGTATTGAAAAACTGAACTACATATTACAGATATTCATCGAAATAAAAACACAAGCTAGTCCAAAACTATCTGAGTTTTTGAAGTGGTTCATTGAGATGTTTGATTTCAATTCATGTTTCGTGCTCTGACTCTAGAGCCCCAGGATTCGTCCCTTTGTGCCACCTACATCTCCAACTCTCATCACCCACACTTTTCTTGCTTCTCAAACCCAACTCATAATCATAATCCGCTCGAAGTTGTGGGTTGGACAAGGTGGTGTAGGCGGTGTTGAGCTGCACAAACATCCTCGTCAACTCTTCTTTCTTGGAACTGTCATGGCACACGTCGGGGTGGTACTGAAGAGCCATTGATCTGTACGCTTTCTTTATGTCATCTGTGGTTGCACTCATGGGACTCAAACTCAGTACCTTGTACAAGTTCTCCTCCACACATGCCTGCTGTTTCGTGGCTCTGCATGAAACGAAAAACTAATAATAGATATGAGCATCACACCACCGCACCGCACCACCACGGAGAGAGAGCACCACACCACCACAGAGAGCAAAGGTAGAGTTTGGATGAGAAATCTGAGCAAGAGAAAAGAGTGTGACAGAGGTGAGAAGAAGAGGCGGATCTCAAGAGAGAGAGTAAGAGAAAGCTTGGGGGGTGGGGCTATGATCGAGAGAGTAAAAGTGATGTATGTAGGATTTGGTAATTAAAAGTAAAAAAGTAAAAAAGTTAAAATTTAAAAGGACAATTTTGTCATTACAAAATTTGTGGGGAGGTGGAGGGAGAAGTGGTGGTGGTGGAGGGAGTAACACCCGAAGTGTTATCACGTAGGCCCAAATCTTTATACATTCTGGTATGATATTGGTATTTCTTTTAAAATTGAAACTAATTCAGTTTACCAAGATCTATACTTGAAAATTTCACTTTTCCGGAACCATTGAACATCACATTATTATTTTTTTTTGCATAAATACTCGCACACTTTTCCCGTAGTGTTTTGTGTTATTATATGAAAAATAAAAGAAAACAATCTTTAGCTAAGATCATCCTTTAAAAGGAGATAATGAATGAGGGGTTAGAGAGTAATCTAAAAATAAAGAGATTGCATGTTTTGAAACTACTTCTTGTAAATTTTGTTCAAAATTCCTCTATAAAAGCTAAAGCATGGACAACATTTGATGTCTTTAAGGACTTGAATGACACTAACATTAATTTAACCTTCTCCAGCAAAAAAGAGAAATTAAAAGTGAAATTCATCACAGTAAAGCAGATTAATTATGATGGTATCAAGATATTTGTGCTGCATGGTACACCTTAAAACACATTTTATGCATTCATTTGGAGCCGATAATTTAGAATACGTCGCCTTCTCTTCACCTCTTCACTTTCAATACATTATAATCATTAATAGAGTTTAATTATTCAGATTTGTTATTCTTATTTTAAGGATTAAGATGGTAAAATATAAGTTGAACTTAAGTAAATCATTTTGAAATGTCAACATAAGTAATTTATTTAAGTCAAAACTATAAACAAAAATATCTTGATACAAATAAAATAATTTTACCAAAATCTTGCAGATAGCTTTTTTTCTAAGTTGAGATGAATGATTAATTAATATTGAGTATGTAGCATAGTTTGGAGCCCCATGGCATCATGAATCCCATACCATTTATCTATAAGAATCTTCTGAACCTTCTTTCAACATTAATAATATTACTTCCTCCATAATAAACACTGATTACATTACTTCTCCACGTATCATTTTTCCTGAAACACTGATTATATTACTTCCTCACAACGACAACCTTTAGTTTTCTTCTCTCTTTATTTCATTTGCTTCAGAACCTTCTCTTATCGATCGCTCAAAATTTGATAATCTCCTAGTGCATGCTATACCCTTTTTCTTCGGACAAATAATCTTAATTTAATTTCGTATGAGGTTATTTTGTGTTATTATTGTGCCTTGTGAACACTTACGAAGGCAATAACCATCCATAATTCCGTATGAAGCATTTTAGTTTTCAAAGAACTTACGTTGATCCTTAAAATACGAGTCTTTTATTAACATATTTGTTGGGAAAATTTGTTTAAGCAAAAAAATTAACGACCTCTACATAATAAAAATAATACCTGTATATCCGATAACATGTGTCTTGTATTTAACTTAAACTTGAGCTGGAGTTTGGTTGTTTATATAAAAACTAGGTTACTTCAATAAACAATATGAAAATAAAAAATGTTTTCCACAATTGTAGTGTGATCATTTTTGCTTACCTTCTTTATTGTGCACATAAAAAATGATAAGTAAAATAACAATTACACACAATGATATAATATAAATTATGTAATGTTTAAACAGTAAAATAGTATGAAATCCAGCACGCTCAAACTACAAGACTGATTGCCAAAAATTAGTTTAAACTCAATCACCATTTTCATATTTAATTTTTTCAATACATAGTTACATTAAAGAATCGTAAGCTTGTAAAATGTGACCTTCAAAATAGTTCTCTAAAGAAAAAACATATCTATGCTTCGGGGTTTTACTAATGAACAAGAACATTTGTTAATTAAAAAACATTTAACATCTTGAAATTTAAAAACTTTTTATTTAATTTGTTTTTTCATAAATGAATAAATAATCAAAGTTGGTATCCAATTGGTTGAAAACCATGAGATTGTGCAAGGTAAACCAGTAGGTACCAGTTAAAATATTAAAATATTTAGATAAAGACTAATAACACAAGGCATTGAGATAATGACGAAATCTTACCAACAAATATCTTCATTCTAAGAAACCTGAAGACCAAAGTGCGGACCACATGCTTAGAAGAATGTTTACCTTTCAGCCAGTGACATATAATGAACCATGATAAAATGATAAATTCGCGATTCTGTAGCTCATTAGTCAGCCGAATCATATTCACCAGATGCCGGTGGTACCATGGTGTTTGCAGAGACTTGGCAAAATTCACTAAGTCGAAAACATAAAAATACACAACCACATTGACAAGAAAGTTATGTAAGTATATCTTCCATAATGCATTTCACAACACTAATTAAGCAGAGCGTCCTCAACGAATTAAAAACAAGTCCTCCAGATTTACTGACAACTACATACCTGATGGCAAATCATCGTGAATGCTGAAATGAGCCCAAAATGAAGAGCAGAATAAATTCGATAAATGTGGGAAAGCCCATAAATCACTTACAGGAAGAGGCAAAACTTAGAATAACAAACAAGCTTAATCTCTAATAAACGTGAACAGAAATAGGGCATAATTGAAACAAAAATATACTGTACATTAATTTGCTGAATTCGCTCCTGCGAACCAAGAATAGGGTCCACTGGTGTTGGTCTAACTTTTGATACAAACAAGATTTACCATCATGTCCGTGTCACTCCAGAACAGCAACTTCCTGGTCAACCCTCCAGTAATTTGCATCATTGAATTCCTTTATTCCAGGACCACCCTCATCAGAACTTTCTTTTTCTGGCACTTTAGAAACCATGTTTCTTTTCAATGGACCTGCCTCTCCAACTATCCCTTCTTTCAAAGCCTGTTCCATAGCCTTCTCAGTACCTTCTAATTCTACACCTACAAATTCAACATCTTCTTCAAAGAGTGATGGTACTGCTATTGATCTTTGACTCGAGTCAATACTCCCAACAATTGAATCTTTAGGGGTTGGTGACCTGTTTGAAGGAACAGAGTCCCCATTTGGAGGACTAGGATTTAGGTTACCTATTTGAGGTTTGGTAGGAAGGTTGTAACCAGAAGAATCATGGTCCACAAATGGATTCGTGGTTGAGCCAGCATCTTGCACATCTAAAGGTCCACCCCATTCCACCCACTCTGGCAAAGGCCTGTCCCCAAACAATTCTTCATTGTCCGACTCAAACCTGAAGAAACCCATATCATGTGAAGCACTTGCCTTTTTGCTTTCGAAGTTCAAGGCGTCCCCATTCATGGAATCACTACCAGTTACCCCATTTAAGTTTGTGCTTGAGTTAGATGTACCATTGAGATTATTGGTGCTTTCAGCCAATTCTTCATCCTCTCCAACAACTACCTCATCATCACTACTGTTACCACCATTTGCAGCACCATTCATGTTTATCTCATCCATCATCTCAGATGATGTTGTGCCCCCAGTTGCATCACCAATTCTGTCGTCTTGGAATGCAAACCAGTTGGAGTTTGTGAAAAGACTACTGCAAGCAACAAAAGTAAAATAATTTTTTATATTGGTTTTGAATATTTTCTTAATTTTCTATATTATACGTGGAAGTAAAAGAAAACAGTGGAAATTAACCACTTAGATCATTGTGCTATCTACTTCTTTCACAATAACTTTTGCATGTGATGGGAGAATAGCATAAGGGAAGGAGACACGTCATGGGGCAGAAAACCAAAATATGTTGAGGTTAAAGAAATGAAAGCATATTCTATTTCTATCACGGGATATGAAATTTTTTAATCAATAACAGCCCAAAAACAGAATGAGGATGAGTGAAAGGGAAGGGATTCCTAAGTATAGAAAGATCTATAAGCAATTGAAAGCACGATCTATTTCTAGTGGTGATAAATTGACTCACCTCCCTTGATCATCACTGAGTCTGAGGTTTGATATGACTACCTGAGCAGAGTCATCATCAAAGTAGACATCCTGCACAGATCATACAACAGATAAAGTTGCTATCAAATTAGTTAACAATATATCACTCAGCAATATAAGAGCCAGACCGATTCTCAGGATCCACAAAATCGATCAAATTAAATTATAATTGTAACCAAGAATAAACAGCAATACTACCTCATCCTCTCTATCACCGTTGCCACGTTCCTGCAACCAAGCCAATCAAAACATTAGTCCAGAATTCAAGTTGCAGGGTGCAACCCAAAAAACGCACAGGGGCAGAGGTGCTCTACTACAAACCTCCTCATTATCCTCATTCCCATAAATTTTGTATCTAAAAGCCTGGCTCAAATTATTTGCTAAAGCTGCAACATCATAGTCCCTGTCATGAAGGTCATCGTCATCACTATCCCTCATCCTATCTTGCAAAGCAGTCGGACGTCTGTACAAAGGAAAAAAAACAAATAAAGTGACATGTTAAAATAAGAAAGACCCACAACACAACAAAGCAAACATATAACAAAAACAAAAAACGATAGATAGTTAATAATAATAATGTACAAAACAACTATTACATCCACTGCTTGTCTAATAGTATCCCTGAAATCAAGCCCTCTAAACCTTACTACCCAAAATAACCTCACTTTTGGTCACAAGACTGAAAGTAAGGCAATGGTTTAGTTCCCTTGTAATTTATATTGCAATAACCAAATCAAACCCACAACAAGTTTTATAATGGGAGCTGCTGAACCTCCCTAATCAACCCTTGCCAAGCATTTAGATTTAATTAAAAGCTTACCCACAAGCCCAACGGTGAACATTCTCAACCACGTTACGCTCCTGAAGAACTGATGTTTGCCACTCACTCCACTCACTATTTTCCTGCGGACGTTAAACATATCAAGTTGGAATATTTCAAGAAAAGTTTATCAAAGCACAATAACTTCAACATGAGTTCAGCTCCAAAATCTCAGATGAAAGAATAAACTTTATAGTTACAAGTTAGCATGTTTGCGATTTTCACACAAAACAGATAGACAGAAAAATAACATCAAATAGACAGGAAAACAAAACATGTCATGACTTGAACTATGTAAGGAAATAAAGAATTATTTTATTGGTATGCATCACACATTACATTCTCATCACCTCTATTTGGAATAATCAAACTCTGTAAAATAAGAAAATAAAAAAAAATGTTGAATTGAATAGGAAAATTCTAAATATGTTTTCTCCTAATAAATTAAATAATAAGAATATTTTCATCATAAAAATATGCTATTTTACAACACTCCCCCCAAGTTGGCAAATAAACATCAATCATTCTTAACTTGCCTACAAAAATTGCGGAATCTGCCCAAGGAAGATCCTCTATGAAAATGTCCACTGTTTGAAGTCCTATAGGGATATGGGTTGCAACCACAAGACCTCTATCTAGACTATAATTAAGGACTTATTATAAGCAATGTTCACAGCTGACTTGTTATCACAATAAAATTGAATAAAGATGTTAAAAAATGAACTTTAAATCTAACTCAATCATACAAAATCGACTGGTACAATGAAATTTACACCTACTTATATAATGCAAATTAACTTTATCTCCAGTCAATGTGAAACTTCTAACACACCCTCATATGCTAAGGCATATATACATGTCGAGCGTGGGACTAAACATTAATAATAGTCCAATAGCGAGTGGAAAAATAGATCCAACAAACAAACTTTGCTAGAATAAGCTCTAATTCATGGCCCAATCTATGTTAAAAAGTGGATTTTAAACCTAATTCAACATCAACTCGTAAAGTGAGGTTTGCACTCACTTATATACTGTAAATTGACATTACCTTTAGTCAATATGAGACTTCCAAAAGATGTCAACCATTATCTTATGTTAGAAGTTATGGGTGGAAAATAACTGCTAGCAGTCATGTATTGGGTGTATATATTGTTGAAGATTTGTAATTAGGAAATGTGAAGTTAATTGTAATTTGAGAACTAAGAATACTCTCTGTAGGAGACTTGTGTCAATGGGAGAGCATGTGCATTGCTGTGATTTCAGTTTTCATATTATATTTTATTAATTTCATTAATTGGTGTTTTATCAGACTCCAAAAGCTTCTTTCAGATAAGCCTTGGAGCAAAGTTATAAGCTCTAAGCAGATTTGTCAACAAAAGCTATTACAAAGCTTCAGATTTATATAAACAGAAAAAGGTTTACTATAGAAACGATGAGGCTTTCCTGATGCTATAAATATGACATTCACAACTAACCTGAAGACATGTTAGTATGAGGCTTCGACTATGTCCTAGGTGAACAAGTTTGTTAGCAATACGAGTAATATGCCCAATGTTCCCTGCCCGTGGTGCCTGTTTTCCAGCAGCAAGTACAGTTGGCTGCAAAATAAAACAATTTGGTAAGGCTGTTCTAATAGACATGACAGCAATGTAGAGATGATTGATTATGCACTTCATATAGGTCCTATCAAAAATTGAAGAAAATGAAATCATCCAATATATCAATTCAAAAGCATTTAAGCATTCACTTACCGTATTTTTGTCAGCAGATAGAATAGAATGTTTATCTGCTTGGAGAAATCTTCCAATTAAGTTACACTCCCGAAGAAGATGATCAACAATGGCATCAGCTTTACTCTCCAAACATGATAATATGATACTTTCTACATGATGGTGTAATGAGTTATTATATGGATACCTGTATCAGCAAACCATGCTCAAACTAGTTAAAAAAAGTTGAAGATGAAGATAAGCAATAATGCTACATCCACAAATTTAAAAAATTGAAAGGTTTCTCTAAACATCTACGTGCACGTTTGATTTGGCTCTTCGAGCATTGGATCCACGTTTCAGATGTGAAAAATGGAATATTAAAAGTAGCTTCAGCTATTAAAAGTAGCTTCAGCTATTAAAATGGATCCACATTGACTGATCTGATGCAAAACTAAACATGCACTACATAAAACAATTAATAGTTGCTTACTCAAAGAAAAGATCAATGACTCGTTGAATAGTTCCTGAATTGACCATGTCTTTTTCTGCCACTTCATTTCCGGTTTTCAGAAGGACGGCAATGAACTCAACAATCTGAAATAAATAGCAGAAAGATCAGAAATTCAACATATTCAAAATTCATATTAGAAATACCTAGCATAAGAATAGAACATTTGCATAAACAGCTTTGAAATAGACAGCAAAGATGATTTTTGGTACAACAATTCAATATTGACTGGCTTGACACTAACCTATTTAAGGGATTACTAAAGTACCGATATTTTCATCAAGGTACATTACCAACCATTCATTAGTTTCTTGTTAAATTAAACAAATTTGAATGGATTTATGATAAAATGAGCAGCAAACAAATGTAGGATAATTCACCCTAGGTATGGGTAATTGCGATTCCCCTCTAATTGGTTGAGAGAGCAATAAAAACTAACCTTCAATCGATGCTTGCCAAGGGGAGGTCTCAGTTCTCCATATGTTGTGGGCAACACTTTTTCATCGGATGATACATTCAGAAGCATAAGCAATTCACCTGAAGACAAAAAAAATAAAAAAATTTACCAATTGGTTTGTACCTAACAAAACATAGTGACAACAATCTGCAAAGCTTCAATAAAGAAAACAGTTGCAAAACTAAATTCCAAATTAAAAAACCTCTAACCTTTTTATGTTACACAACATTCAAAATAACTAAACCATGATGTAACTTCAAAATTAAAAATCCTCTAACCTTTTTTAAAAACTATATGCATTATATTATTTTGTTACACAACACTCAGAATAACAATACAGCTAAGCCAAATCCATGATGATGACCTATGATGCGCTGATACTTCAACTTGTATCATGTATTGTGTCCGACATGTATCCGTAGCCAATACTTTAAAATATTTTACCAATACTCTTCAAAAAAGTATATAATCTATTAGGAAGTTATACTTTTGTGATGACAATAATTTATAATTTTTTAGTTTGACAATGTCCAATACATTTGATTTTAATTTGAATTCACATAATAGCAATCACATATTTATCATGTTTTTACAAAATTTTGTACATTTTCAATATGTATATATCTCGTATCATATCCTATTATTTTTAAAATATTGACATATCAAATACGTATCGTATATCCGATAATATTTATGCATCATAGATGATGACAATAACACAGCTAAAAACACAACAAATTGGACTTACCAAGTTTTGGTAGCATTGCACCAATAGTGTCTGGGTTTACAGGAATTGGTGGCTCATACATGTGTTGACTTCGAAAGGAATGAAAAAGGGGAGATGATATAGCAGATCTTTTGGGATCCAACAAAGAAACACACACTGAAAGTGAATTCACAAGGCTAGACTTTGACTGTGAATCTTCCAGTGCGTGATCCAATAGTTTTTCAACATAACTGCAAGTATAAAATTTATACAATAATTATTTCGTAATTACATACTAGACGAAAAGACCAAAACATAATATATATATATATATATATGATAATTATATCATTCAAATATTAGAGCAAAATATCATAAAATCATGCAATACAAACCTTGGGCTTGAAAGTTTAATTGCTAGAGTAGATGAGGGATTTCTAGTTATTGTGCACAATGTTTCAGCAGCATTGGCATGAACTTCGGGAGGACACTGGTTCAAATAGCAGAGCAAAAGTTGTCAATAATTTGCAACAAAAAATAAGGTAATAAAAAGCCTAAAACTTCAAACATCAAAACAAAAATTGAATACTAAATTGAGCTTTTAATTAATTACATCTTCTCTGTGCCAGAAAACAAACTTTGGGAGCAAATACAACACCACTACTAGCAATCATTATTAGAGTGATCAGTCAGGCTTGTGGATAATAAAATCCCCAAAAATCAAAGAATGTATGTGGCTACATTCAATCTCATTTAACGGTCTGAAAAGGCATAAAGCTAAATGCATAAGCATCACACAGCAAACAAGTAAAACCTGGCTAAGGGAACATAAACCTGGATAGATGTTTTACTTACAGATGGACTCAATTTATCAATAATCATCTCAAGCAAGTTGCTCTCAGCCAACCATTGCATCACATCTATAAAATTGTGATACATATGGTCATCAGCACCTACTAATCGAACCAAAACCTGTCAAAGGAACTTACCTCAGAATCCATTCTAGCACATCAGCAAGATCTCAGAACTGTCATAAATACAACTAAAGTGGTAAAAATTTACCTCCATAATGGATGTAATTCCTATCAAATCAACCAGTTGACGGAAAACATTCTGATGGACCTGTAGAAATTATGTTGAATCAAGAATGAATGATTTCACAAGGAGACTATAGTATGCAATATGCACACCAAACAATAGACTAGAAACTGTTTCATATAAAGGTTGCAGAGATAAAAGGGATTTAATGTAAAATCAATCAAGCGTTTTAATCCTCCATAAAATTGAATAAGCAAACTACCACTGTACTGAAAAAGCACAATGTTTTACTTACTTGAACATAATTCATCAGTGGAACTGTCTTTCGAATCATTAGGCAAACAACAACCTGTAAAATGGCATAGAAATCAGTATCATGCATGTCAGATAGGCCACATTGACAAAAAGGTCATGCAAACAAAACTTTAAATTTTATCTTAATATATACCTTACTAAAGTAGCCTGCTAACAAGGCACTATGTGAGCGATTAGGCTCCAAAAAGGAGAATAATAAGTTCATCAGCTGAAATTACAATAATGTGAAGGGGAAATCAATAAAGAGACATGACTTGAAGCTAAAAATAAGTTCACAAACTAGGTGAAGTGTAGACCTCTTCGTCATCAACCAAGGTCTTCAAAATGACATCAATTTCACATGTAAAAATCTCGCAGGCAATGAATGGAAACCTAAATTACAAACATACAAACAGAGATGGTTTCAAGGAAGTTGAAACATTAAAAAAGTTCTTTTGCAACAAATTTTCAATAAACTGCATACTTGAAGGCTCGTTTATTTTCAGCATCTTCGGGTGCTTCTTCAATAATGTACCGTAACAATTGCTCAACCTGGGTCTGATCTCTCAAACTAAAATGGGAAAAAGGACAAATTATCAATTATATTTTGTTGAAACGACATGTAATTGCCTTTCCAGCCTGTCCTTTATGTATATTCACCAAAAAATAGAAATTGGACAGCACACACACAACGAAAATATTGAATGGACTCAAATTAAACAGACACATACAAGTTGATAAGGCGACTGTTTAAGGCCTTGCATTCTTGGATCACTTCCTCTTCATCCAGAAGCTCTTCCAAAGTGAAATTATCCTTGTCTAATATTGCCTCCACCTGCGTAACACCATCAACATAAATGAACTTCAACAGCAACAAATAGGAACATAGAGAGCGAGAAAATAAGTATGCTTGTTTGAAGCTACTTGAAGACTTTAGTTGTCAATTCAGTTGTCCTCTTAAAACTTTCAGCCATCAAGCATGGCATTCAATCATAGTGTAAGCGAGCATCGTTATACGGAATTGTGAAAAAAACACTGCATCTCAACACTAAAGCAAGTTGCCATAAACTGATAGACACTTTGAATTCAAATCTATCAAAAAGATAAGGGGAATTTTTTTCGAAGAATCACGTGGCCTCTTTTTCACAAATTCACGCTAACTTGTATTTGCTATAACTAAAGCTCGAGTGTTTTCCATTGATTAACATGCGCATAATAACACCCTACAGCAGACAGACTTCAAATTAAAAACACCCGCAGCTGAAAAAAAAATACCAAGAACTAATTCTAGTAAAAAAAAAATACATATATTAATTAGCATGGTAAAACAAATCAACAGTCTCTGATTGAGATCCTCCTAATATAGTGAACCAGTGAAGTAGATTCAATAAACAAATAGCAGATTCAAAAAAATTAAGTGAAAAACAAGCAACGAGTTTGCTACAAGCTGCTGTATGTAATAAATTAAAAAGAGCGGAAAGCGAGAACAGCGAAGGTCGATCCGGAAAATGGAATTAATGAGTAGCATAGTGAAATAAGGATTAGTTAATTTGTAATTAGAAAGATAAAGTAATGGAAAAAAGATGACATTGGAATGGTGAAATGAAAGTAAGTGAGGCTTAAATTATGGAGGGAGAGAGAGAATAATTGAAACTTAGTTTAAATGCGGAGGAATTGGCGCGATTAAAGTGGAAACTCACGGGGGAGGAAGCAGAGAGAGATGCAAGCTTCCAAAACATGAAGGTGGTCGGATCTAGGTCTTAACCCTAATTTTGTGGGAGAGAGATCGAAAAGCAACCACGCCGTGAAGATCGATAGAAGAAAGAAAAGAGAGAGGCAGAAAGAGAAAGAATGCCCCCAAAATAATCGCTAGCGCTAAAGTACAAACCATGGAACTACGGAATTGCCACACACAAAAACACCACCTATCCCACGCTTCATAATGCCTCCTACATTTTTTTTATTTCTTTTATTATTTTAATCCCATGCATGGCCATGGCATCTACCACCATCATGTTATATGTCATGGCCATCCCAATTTGAATTTCAACTGAGAAACATGGTTCAGCGTTACGTCGCCCTGCATTCCACCATTCAAATTAAAGTACACTGTTCTTCGAATTAAATGTTAAATTATTGTGGAAATTGAAAACATATCTACAATAGGGGCACCAATATGCTGAAAAATCTTAAACTTTTGTGTTTGATTGTTTGAATTAATTAAGTCAATGTCTAAAGCACTGTTTTGTTCAGAATTCGTTACAACGTTTTAGTAAATGATTAATTTATTTTGACTATAAAATAATGTAAAGACCAATTTCAAATTCTATTTATTACTCTTAAACTAGATTACTGTTATCACCTACTTTGAAATAAAATATTGATGTGTTCACTGTTTTTGGAGTTTAACTTTGTCTTATACAAATGTAATACGCAATAAAAGAGTAATAAAATTATTAATATATGCAACTATTCATCTATATTATAACCTTTTATTTATAGGATAAAGAAAACATATTGTACTTATACATTCGTATCTTCACAATCATATCTTCTAAACTTACATTTATATTACTTCATCTTACAAATAATATATAAAACGATTATTTTCTTTAAATTTAAGTTATATCATAAATATAACAAATTTATACAATTTCATTACAATCATGTGTACATGTTTAATATTAATATTATATATAAAAGATTACACATTGACCTATATAAGAAAAAATACCTAGCCATGTTGACGCCACTGTAGAGTGTCAAATGTCTAAGTGTATGGTATTCACTAAATAATATTTATTTGACATCTTTTAGAAAATAATTTTTTTATTTGAAGATGTCTGTATAAAAAATGTTATAGTAATGATTAACATCCAAATTATGTAAATATCAACTACATAAATCATGATAAATTTAAGGTATAAAATATTTTTAATTTTCTTTATTTCACATATATTATTAATCCCTGATTAACTTCTCCCAATCTAATGTCTTAGTCTTTTTGACTTAGATAATGAAGTTATAGATATCTACGGTAACATGATTAATCTACTTAATATATTACTCAATCAATTAGTTATGTATCACCTAAAACTTAGTCATAATTCTCATTAATGTAAATCAAATGGTGAATATCAAAATTATTTAAATGAAATAAACCTGTGAGAAATTTTAAATTTTCTTAATCTAATCTACAAAATTATTTAAATGCAAAATTAATAAAATTATCATCCAAGTATTCTCATATTTGTGAAATTTTATTTAACAAGTCCGAAAGTAAAGTTAGTTATCTAAATGAAATCAAAAGTAAAGTTAGTTATCTAAATGAAATCAATTCAGAAAAACCTTGTCAATTAAGGAAATTTTATTCATAATTATACAGAGTTTTCAAAGCTAAAGTCAAGGCTTTGGTTAATTTATTATTAACCAAGATCATATCCCAAAAATTTTCAAATGTTTAGCTTGGATCACTTTTTGTCAATAAAGTTTAGGTCTATTTCTTTTTCAACGTCGTAATTGGATCTTTGTTTTTGTAAAATTGAAGCAATTATGGGTTTTCCATCAAATTGAGAAGACGCCGCTAAGGAGGGTATTACGTGGCATGCTGACAGTGTCTTTTTAAATGATGTGGCATTAAAAACGCATGAGTGAAGTCATTTTTTAATTCAGAAATAAAATAAATACAATTGAGACACGTTTTTAATGTCACATCATTTAAAAAGACATTGTCAGCACGTAACACTCTTCTTAACATCGTCTTCTCAATTTAAGTTTAAAATTTGTTAAACTTTATGTATTTTTTAAACAATCACAAAAGAAAAATCCTTACCCTTACTTAAATAAGAGCTTAAAGTGTAATTAAAGTGTAATCCAAATCAATTTAAAGTTACTTAATAGAACCAAGTAGATAAACTTCAAACGTTATCATATTATCTAAACATGTATTACTTAAAAATATAATTCATAATCAAAATATTTAGTATATTAATGTTAATCAAACTTTCATTTATTAACTTGAATATTAAAATGTATTTTGCAGGTATTGTCCAAACAAACTTTAGACGACAATAGAATTGAATAATTCACAACTTAAAATGTACTTAATTTACAATACAACTAGATAACCACAAGTCTAATTCTTAATACATCCAAAATTTCATTTAATTCAACATTTAAAATTACTCTCATATATGCACCAACTCTTTACTTCCTCAATTCTCAATTTCAGTCTAAGTTTAATATAGCCAAATTTAAGAAAAAAAAAAGTGATATGCACATAAAATTTTGATTTGACTCAACAAGAGTTTAACATCACCAAAATTTCGAAGATGTTCAAAAACTTCACTAAAGATAGCAAAACTTTAACTCAATCAATAATGACTACATATTCAAAACCAACATCAATGTCTAACATAAGTATACATAAAAATAAGAAAACACTTATTCCCATTTAATTTATGTTTGCATGAAATAATCCAAACTCAGAAGTTACCAAAGAGTAAAATTCTTGAAAAATAAAGAGAAAGTAGGAAACTTAAAAAAAATACATACAAAAATCCAAAACTGAAGAGAGAGGAGATTAATTGAATTTTTATGTGTATTCTTACTTTGACTACTCATAAATATAATATATAAAAATTAAGACAGTAAATATGTTAATAATGAGAAAATTAAATGAATTAAAAAAAATTAAAAGAATTTAAGCTATTAAAGCTATTTAAAAATAAATAATAAAGTACGTTTAGTTAACACTATAATAATAATTAGAAATAATCAGTTAATTGAGTCTTGTAAAAATAGAAAGTATTTATTAATGAAAATAACCAACACGCCTTGGTGTAAACGGAAAATAAGTTTTGTAAAGAACTAACCTCAAAGTGATCCTAAGATCTATGTATTTACAAGCAAGACAAACAGAGTCTATTTTTCGTTAGAAAATTAAAATAGAAATGTTGTTATTAAAAATATTATTAAAACATCTTAATTGTGATTTTCGATTTATTTTTAACAAGGGTTTTAATGGAAAAAAATATTAACGAATATTCTTATTACTACTTATAGGAAAACCCATAAACAAAATATATAGCCAAAAAAAGCACTCTACTTTTAGCATCTGATTAAACTTTAGAATGTCAAAGATCGTGAAAATGTGCTATACTTATTTTGAATCTTTCCTTTTCATAATTGATTTCTAAAATGCTGTAATATCAAAGATTTATGATTTATACATTATTAAATATGATAAGTATACATATGTCTATTTCAAATATGCCTATAATTTTGATATTTATTTAAAATGTACATTACAATTTTCATTTATATATCAAACGGACTCACTAGCTGACAATACTTTATATCAAAAAATCTAAGATGAAAAGGTTTAAACCATTCGACACTATTTTTTTTTTTTTTTTGAAAATTCGACACTAATATTTTTGAGTTAACAAACTGAAAATGTAAATAAATCCAAAACATTTAAATTATATTCTTTCAATACGGAGAGAAGAAAAATCATAATTCAACATTTTATTAAATTATAATTCAACATTTCGTCAATAACCCCACATTATTAGAACATTAAGAATCACTAGAGTATAGTTTTTGCATTCATAATCAATCGTACAAAAATAATTCAGTTATGCCACTAAAAAAATAAAATGAAAAACACGTTTCGTTGCTTAAAAATAAAATAATAGACACTCACCTTTTAAATCATCAATGCCAGTCAAATGGAGACACGTGTCAAGCGATGCAGTGATCTTCTTGATGTTAAGTGCGATGATAAGTAAGAAGGAGAAAGCTTAATCATACCTCATTGGATGTATGGTCATGTATGGATGCATCATGCTTGTTTCACACCATAATATAGCAATGTTGTTACCAGTATTCTCGTAAAAGAATGCAACGCTGAAATTCATAATTTTGAAAATGGCATCACTTTCTTGTTTACAAACTTTCAATATTTTTTTTATAGTCTATTTCAACTATACTTGCAACAACAAAATCTAACTCAACTATTTTATATTTTTTATTCTATTTATATGTTAATATTTCAAATTTTGCGATATAATGAATAAATATTTATTTCATACAATAAATAAATATTTTAAATATATAAAATATGCTGTAATAATAAATGGCGTTAACATATAATAATATTTTGTTATATAAACTATTTCTAGCATATTGGTAATTTTAAAAAATGATTAATTTAATTTATCAAAGTTGATAAAAGAAGGTAAGTTTTAAGAAATAAGATCTTAATAAAAACATTTAAAAGTGTTATCAATGAAAAAAAAAATACTACAACAACTCATAAATTCTCTAATTCAGTTTAGTTATTTATATATGTAATATTTTTATTTTCCAGTTACATGAGTCTGTAAATTTTTTTCTCGTTTCTAATTTAAGTATAATTTTTTCTTAAAGACAGTCATTATTTTAAATAATTTTATATTCAAATTAGTATAAATTAAAAATATAATTTTATATAGTTAAAGATACATATTAAAATTTAAATTATAACCATTTAAATAGTTTTCAGTGAGATTTTTTAGCAGCTATATTTAAATAAGATTATTTTTTTCAAAGAAAATGACTTTAGAATATTTTTTCTTAACCTCTTATTATTTTCAATCTATCAATATTACTAAATTAATTTTGAATATTTTTCTACAATAAATTATTAATAGTTAAAAATTTATGATAATGCTAAAATATAATTTGTGTTAAATACATTTATCACTAGTACAAAAATCACGTACAACGTCGAATATTTTGGGCTTTTAACGGCGAATTCGCGAACGTCATATAAGGAGACGTTAAATTATCATCGAATTAAAAAAATTTGACGTTAAATTAACGTCGGATTTTGTTAACATACGACGTTAATCAATTTTTTTTATTTTT